CTCTCTCTCTCTCTCTCCCTCCCCTCTCTCTCTCTCTCCCCTCTCTCTCTCTCCCTCCCCTCTCTCTCTCTCCTCCTTCCTCTCTCTACTTTGATAAAATAATCAACTATCCACACTATGATTGTTAAGACGATCATAGATTCTTATAATTTAGGATATTAGTACAAAACAGGCGCGCGCTTTGCACGCGTTATTTAGCGCATTTGATTGCACTATTAAATTGCACTACAACTTCACTATACTATTTTTTTGTCAAAATCCATGCGCTCACTTTGTGAATGACGTAAATAGTTATCAATGCAATGACAACCGTTCACGAAGTAAGCGCATAAGAAAGAACCAATCAGCATCGCGGAAAAGAGGCAATATCTCCTACAGCGCAAAAGCAATATTATGTACTGTAACGTGTAATATTGTAGCAATATTGCTACAATCTTTGCGCTGTTGGGATACTTCGAGAGATTCGAGACATTCGACTTTCGATATTAACATAGGATTTTTTCAAATAAGAATAGAGTTGGATTTTAATTATTGATCATATCGCTAGCAATAGTTTACCTATAAACCGCTGAAGGATAGACATTGAGAAGTGCGTTGTCAAAGGTTTCATAGATTGTTGGATCTGATATCATTACATTGTCTCGATTTTCCGTAAGAGAGGGCATAGAAAAGTACTCCACGTATCGAGTAAAATAATTGCCGTAAAATTGTTTCACTTCCTCTGACATGTGTTGTCTCATTTCATCAAAGTGCAACCGTTGCCGTTTCATGATATTGCTTTGTAATACAAAGCCACCTATCGTCGCGAACAGAGAAAAAGAAAGAGGATCGTAATAAAAAAGAACGGCTCGAAAAAATAAATCAAATAAAATTAGTTAACGTGAATTATTTAGCGTGAATAATTTATTTTCTTAGTAAATAAATAAATTAGATAAGGTTGCACTGACCTGGTATAAAGGAGACCACTTCGATCCCGTATTTGCCAACTTCTACTCGAAGAGAAGTGCTCCACGCGAGAAGGGCGGCCTTCGTAGCCCCGTAGATGCTTATACCCGGTAAGGACTCGTTAGCGCAATGGCTAGATATTACGATAATTCTGCTGTGATTCTCCCGTAAAATCGGCATCAGCTCTTGCGTGATTCTCATCGTTCCCAACAGATTCACGTTTACCTGATACTCCGTGAGTTTCTGCGTTTGCCACTCGAATTCGCCGAAAACCATCACCCCCGCGTTATTCACCAACGCGCGCAGTACTGCGGACAATGCGGCAAACAACAAAATTTGAAGTGAAAATTTGAATTTTAAATTTGAAATAGACTATAAATTACTTGCATCCCTACATACCTTTCTCAATTGTTTATTTCGTATTACTCACCTAACTGCCGCTCCTCCAACAGTTCTTTAACTTTATGACGAAAATCCTGAACGGATTGTTCATCCGTGATATCGACTTGATGAACAATAACACCTTTATTCTTTAATGCTTCAACAGCGTTAGAATTAGACGCTGTTGGTATTTCGCGCACTCCAGCCAAAACCATCGCACCCTTGGCACGACAGTGCATCGCTAGACTATACCCCAAACCGGAATTACAACCGGTTATAACGATAAGATCTCGTGCATTTATTTTCCGCCGACGACTAAAGAAACAGTACAAAGTAGCACCACCTGAGAAAAGAAGGAACGAGAAATTTTCTTAGACACTATCGCTAATTTGTGAATTCTTTTTTTATTCCGAGTTAGTAATATATCCAAACTTTGCCTTATTAAAATCTCTCAAGTTGCTATGCTATTCATGAATATCCTAACAAAAAAAATGATCGAAATCGTTTGTTAATGATAACATTTTTAAATAATGCAGTTGTTTCATGTAACTGCATGTATAATTAAATAAAAGAGAAAATTTATATTGTTGTAATTACAAAGTTAAGTACTTAATAAATTAAGTTAATCACGAGATCATATCTAAAGTGCATCTCGCAAATTGCGGTCTATTAATTCATTCACATAAAACTACTGTTCATTTCAGCATATCTTGTTCTTTTAAAAGAAATTCTCTCTCTCTCTCTCTCTCTCTCTCTCTCTCTCTCTCTCTCTCTCTCTACCGGCAACATGAATTTTAACTCTTCCACCAGCAATAAGAGAAGCAGAACTTTTTTTGTTTCAAATTATATAAAAAAAATCTAAAAAAATTCTGATATACCGCAAAGTCTTTAACAATGAGTCTCTATCATAATTATAGAAATCTAATTATATATTTTACTTATTTTTGGCAGAGTTAAATTTATTTTACGCAAAAATTTACACACATAATCGAAATATCGATAGTATCTTTTAAAGTTATCAGCGAAAGAAGGATTAATTAAATCTAAAGGAAGAATAATGTTTCTTAAAATCAGATATATTAGAATATCTAGAAAAGATTTAAAACATGAAGGAATACATTTGATTTCGATTCAATGAACGGAAAAAATTAGCAAAGTAAAAATAAAAATAAAAGAATTAAAAAAGATGAATCTTCTTACCTAGCAAAATCATCGAAAGCGTCACCGCCTTACGCGTATGTCCGGCATCCGTAAGATACGCGATATTGCACGAAATTGTCGTTCCAATTTGTAATGCTATTGAATGTTTTCTCCACCACGCTGCCCATCCGCTACCATACACTTTTTCCACCGGATTCATGTTTAAATTACACTCACTACAAATATTTGTCGTCCGATATACAAATATTAGCTTCCCAAATAATACAAAGTTTAAAATTATGACTTTTAGACACAACAATGTCTTATGACGCAGACAGTGTGTATTGTCTGAGTTAAACGATTTATGTACAAACCGGTCTCTGACTGCTTGCTATGGATTTAAATATCGCCACACTTAGTAAAGTAAAATATGCAACTGAGGAACAAAAATCTCAACTTACATAGCTTATTAAATTATTTATCAATTTAATTTATGACATATTATCACCGTTCGGTGATTGCGTTTTAAAACTGAAAATAATTCCGAATAGATTGCAGAATTGAACACGTGTATAAATTTATACCAAAATATTATTTCTAAATATTATTTCTAAATATAATTTCTAACTCAAACTGATAAGATTTTCGTTATTCAGTTGTAAAAAAATATACATGTGTATTTAAAGCGTAAATTTTGTTGACGATTATACTGAATAAATACTCAAATAACTGTATATTCATACGTACGATCAGTTCTTGTACTCGCCACGTTCGCCGAAACGAGGAGAATGATCTTGCTCGATCGTTCTGGCTTGCTTAACCAGCCTTTCTACAAGAGAGTTAGAAATGTGACCTGATCCACCCGACTCACATAACGCCCGTCATCATGTATTCCCGTTGATTTTCGATGCGGAATAAATAAAGGATTTAGAATAAAACGCAATTTCCCAAGTTTAATCGCTTAAAAATGTTTCAGTAATGTTTCAAAATATTCAATTTCGATTTACTCGAATGTTGAATAATGTATCCTTCGTCATCAGAAGATCAATTAATTAATTATTTAGCAAATTAATATTGTAATATGGCTATGGAGACTTATTATTCAGTTACCGAACAAACATGGACAAACGTATTAAATTCTTACATTTTTTATTTGATACAACAAAAGATAACTTGAGTAAATCTTGTAACAAAATTCGTTTTAAGAAAAAATGTTACACGCAGTTTGAAAAAAAACAGAAGATGGATAAATCCATGTTACATGTAGGTATGGTTGTAAGCATTTTAATATTTCATGAGTTAGTTGTTTATAAGGATTGGTTAGTCTTCATTTGAATTTCATTATTCCCACACTATACAGAAAAAAACATCGAATCGTATATCTTTTTCTTTACGCTTATAAAGTTTAGAGAGGTATCAAACTTTGCTGCTTTCTTTTAAAGTCCCAGCTTTGATAAAAAAAACATTCTTACATGAAGATATTATCTGACCGAAAAAAATTGATTTTTTTATTTATTGCAACGCGAAAATAATTATTTCGCATTGCAATAAATAAAAAATCAATTACATAAAAAATAATGATTAATAATTCATAAAATACAAAATATATATAAGAGACAAACTAACGATTAAATAACGTCACATAAAAATTAGACAAAAGATTAAAATACATTAAATGCTGAATTATTATACAGAATATCAAAATATCACATGCAAAATAGTTCCAAGTTCTTCTTCTTACAATCTAAACATACGGATAAAAAAACAAGTTTTTAATATGACAATTTTCTTATAATATTTTCATAGATTATAAATCAATAAGCCTTTACAGGTTTAAATGTACAATTTCGATGTGAGATATAATTTACATAAAAATTAACAAATATTACATACACTAGCTTATAGATATGATCTACTGTTCCACAAAATTGTGCTTTTTTTACAAATTCTAATTGCATTCCAATTATGTATTTGCGATTGCCATGCCTCTTACATATCACGAGATTATTTCATTCATTCCTTATAACAGACTGATGATTGTTGCATCACTGCTCGTAATGCATTGCATAATATATTAAATTACAGATTTCTCCCCAAATTTCAAATTAGGATTCGCTATGACGTTGAAACTCGGATCACCATCGGTCGCCATTCTGCCCAGCCACGAAAAGAGCAAAATAATTCCAACGAAGAATAATATACCAATGACAACCAATACTGCATATCTTTTATATATAGAGCCTGCAGTTTTTCGTCGTACTGGTGCTCTTGATATCAGTTTCCACCATCTTCGGAACCATTCTATGGCAGACTTGCGTTGATATTTATTCTCATCATGATCAAAGAACATGTCTTTTGGATCATCGTAAGCTTCGCATACTTTTCTAGATGCCGGAGTGGAGGATAATCCCAGAGACGAATCAATATTCACGACTGAATAAGGTGGACCAAGCTTCTGATTGTTTGCATGTACATTGCTGACAATGGAATTTGAATTTATAGTACTACTTGTACGAGACACAGCCACTGTAGGCGACGATGGTATAGCAGCTGTGTGATTTTGGAATAAAGAGTTCTCCACAGTTATCGAAGAGCGTTCCTGTTCTGGTTTTTGTTCTCTGTTTTCACTTAGCTGTAACAAAACAATGATTAATTGATAAAAGACATCAAATTTGACTAAATACACTAATAGAAAACATTTATTGTACTATAATATAGTTATATATATAGTTATACAAGTACCAATGGTAAACCAAGACCAACTCGAGCCCAATTGACAGTAGCCAATTTCTCCCTCAAAACATCTGCGACTGGAGATACCAGTTTTGCTTGTGGAAAGATACACACTCTACACGTGGGACAAGTGTATCCTGCTGGTGCAGTAGTTGCTGGCAAATCTCTGGCATATCGATCCAAGCATATCCAATGAAACATATGATAGCATGTTAATCTTATACAATCCCCATCGCTCAATTTGTCCGAACAAAGCGTACAAATTGGATTGTAATCATGATCATGAAGCCACAGTAAATACGACTGTACTATACACTGTAAAACACAAAATCAGTAACATTAGATATTACGCATGGTTATGATGAACCGTTTGATTCTGCACGAAGAAACGAAAGAAGATCTAGTCAAAGATACATCTTTTTTTTTTTATATATTAAAAATCCAATCGGGAAGAAAATACCTTCGGGTGTCCCGTGACCATGCAATGTTCGCATACATTGACACGATGTTCAAAACAAAATTGATTCGTTACTCTTCTTTTCGGACACTTGCACAGACCCATGTTCCAACTTCCAACGTCATGCGACAACGAGAGAATCGAAACGACGTTGTTGGAACGCGGCCGGAGAGCGGAGAATCCGATTCAATAGAACAATACTGACTTTATTTATTTTATTAAGCTTCGCGTGACATATCAGAAACTCGTGACAATATCACCGTTTTATTTGCACTGCCCACCATATTTTATCATCAGCCACGTCGTCTGACAATTTTCATCATTCTCACAGCCGGGCGAGATCGGAATTATCGGAAATAGCCAACAGACCAAATGTTCTACCGTTTGTCCACCAATCGTAGTGGTCGTCGTATCGTCTTATTCTGATTATACGAGAAATATCACAATAAAAGAATAACATGATATAAAATATAATGCGTTGGATGAAATATATGTTGAATTGAATAAAAATATGAATCGAAAATTAGTGTGATGAAACACTTATTAAACATAGTTTCTAAATCTGCATCATTCAACAATGAGATGATGCAACATTATATACGTTTATGCATTGCTTATAAATTTATTGCAAACTTGATAATCCTATTTTTCTCATTTCGCAAAGAAAAATCGTAAAAAAGAAAAAAAATAATAATTTAATCGCTGTCTCTTTAAATGAGAAAGAGAGAGGAAAGGGGAAGGAGAGAGAGAGAGAGAGAGATACGGCCATTACTTTCTTTCTTTATTTATCTTCAACTAGCATTGCATTTCGAAGCATCGGCGTGAAAGCGTAATTTATCATATCTATGGTTAAGAATGAGAGTGGGGAGAAAATTTGGAGATTGTTAATCCCGAATTATAAAACCGTTAACTGGAGGATACCGTGAGGATTCTATTATTATTCTAAATTTGAACATACATTAGAGTGTACGACAGTGTGCAGTGAAAATAGAGGATTGGGCTTGATTTATATTTAGATCATTCAGATTTTACATATCGATATAATACGATAAAGTAAAATTCACGATAAAATCTTGAGAAAGTTCTGAAAAGATACAAAAACATAAATATGTCAGATCCGGAACTTGAAGCGTTACGACAGCAACGTCTGGCTCAATTGCAAGCTCAATATAAGGTTACAAGATTTTACTTGATTTTATATTTTGGAATTTAAGGCTAATAATTATTTCATTTTTTTTGGATGGCTAAAATACATTAACTATGTGTTTGTGATTCTACAGTACTTTAAAAGAGTTGTACATAAATTTAATAAAAGCGAGGGGAGCTATTCCCACTGATTTTTAGTATTTATGCCTTTAACCTCTTAAGGTTATATGACACCTAAATGATAAAATTCTGAATATGTTGTTATCATCTTGTTACTATCATTTTTTTTAACTTGATATAATTGTAAACAATTGTAAATAATTCTTTTCATCCCAATGGTCCTCCTTAATTCGAATATATTTTCATTAACCTCCAAATTTTTATATATATTGCTGAGATCAGTACATATTCAACACTTATTTCTATGGTTTGTATTTCCAACATTAAAAAGCAAATCGTATAATATTTTATAGATTTACTTGTCACATATTGTTCTGTATGAATAATAAGATTGGAAACAAGACCGTTTATGTTAAATACATTACTTCAAATATGAATATGATAATTGCATGCCGATATAGTTGTCGAACTTTCAACGCAATCAATCTGAAATAATAATCCTCCCAAATTTTCCAAATTAATCTTAAAATCTGTAATAAACTTTTTGCGAAACTTTTTGATCTCGGTAGTCTAAAGGCTTAAGACTCTCACACAGAATGCAAGAGAATGATGGAGTTCAATTCTTGGTCGAAGCAATACTTTTCGCAAAAAGTTTATTACAGTTTTTTAAGATTAATTTAGGAAATTTGGAGGGATTATTAATATTTTAGATTGAGTTGAAAATCTGACAACCAGTCATCAGCATGTAATTATTATTTCTGAAATTAATTCATTTATATGAATATATATAATAGTTCTGTATGAATTTATGGAATTAAAATTGTTAAAATGTAGATATGTTTTTGTTTTAGGGTAACAATGCCAACGATAAACAAGCGATGGAAGAGAGAATGCAACAAATGGAAGAGATGAAGCATGCTATATTAACTCAAGTATTGGATCAATCAGCTAGAGCAAGATGTAAATTTATTTTATTATTAATATCATCGAAATATGGTATTAATAGCTTATAACATTGTACATTTATGGATAGTGAATACACTTTGCCTTGGAAAGCCTGAGAAGGGCAAAATGGTGGAAGAAATGCTTCTGAACATGGCACAACGTGGACAGTTACCTGGCAAACTTGGAGAGAAAGAACTAATCAATTTACTCGAAAATGTGAATCAACAAACGCAAAAGAAGACAACAGTCAAAGTTAATATAATTTTTTTATAACAGAATCGTGCATTTCATAAAGTAGAAAAAGTAATAGAATTAAAATTTTATTTTTCAGTTTGACAGGAGAAGAGCAGCTATGGATTTTGATGATGATATGGACTTGTAGCAATTGTACAAATTTTACATCCAAAATCAATTAAATTAAAGAAGATATTCATGATTCATATGTGCAGTAAGTTACAGAAATTACAATATTCCCCACTTTTGCTTAGTAATAATATTATTTTTATGCTGTACTGAAATAAAAAAAAAGTTGAATTATCACTTGAATTTTAATAATAGAACACAAGAATTGATCAACATTCACTTTGTTATTACCATTCACTTTGTTATTAAATACACAGTGTGACAAGTAATTTTTAAGACTGGCGCCTCAGCAATTAGTGGCACCATTTGAACATTAGCATCATTAGAAAGATATATTTTCTTCTTTCAAACGCACTTTGACAAGTTCGTGCAAATTGGATAACAAATGACAAAGTTGTGACAGTACTTCCTAAACAAATTTTAAATCAATGTTGAAATTTTATCATGGAACAAAGAACAGTCATTAAATTCAACGCAAAACTTGATAAAAGTGCATCAGAATTCCGATTGATGCAGCAAGTGTATGATGTGACGCTTATTTAAGTCGATCAAATATTTTCCTGCATAAACGATTTTTGAATGGTAGAGAGTCGCTCATTACATTCGCTCAATGCTCATTACATTTTTCGATAGGAAAGGAATTCCATAAAGAATTCACTCTGGTCAAAGTTATTGGTAACTATCTCGAAGTTTTGAAGTGTTTGATGGCTAGAATTCGTCGTATCCGTTCCAAGATCCAGAAAGTTGGTCGCTGTTGCATGATAACACGCTATCTCACAATTCACTCATTATTCGTCAACCATTTTTGACCCGAAGTCTGTGTACTTAATTATCCACCATATTCACTTGATTTGCGGCTCCGTGCGACTTCTCTTTATTCCCAAAATTGAAATTAAAATTGAAAGGATGCTTTTTCGAAGACATTCCGACCATCCAAACAGCTTCAATATGGGTATTAGAGGTAATACCACAAAATGAGCTGGATCATGCATTTGAATCACTTTTGAATCGCTGTAACAAGTGTATTGAAGCAATAGAAGATTATTTTGAATAAATAAAACAATAAGCATAAGAATATTTTGTTTCTATAGCGTTTTATAGGCCCAGTCTTAAAAATTATTTGTCGCACTGTGTATATCACATATATATCTGGAAATTAACATTCACTTTATAATTATCTTTCATTTTTCCAACTTTCCATACAGAATTATCATTTTTCTCTACGAGTAGTAATATATAATAATAATATATCTTGAGAAATATTTACTCTTTAGATCTCTTTTTCTTTATACATATAAATACATTCAGCAAACATACAATTATTTTTCATTCTAAAAAAGAAAACACAATCACTCTTCCAGTCTACACAATGCAACAAACAACAGTTTCGCACAACTTGCATAATACTAAATATTATCATTATTTTATCCATACATATATAAAAACCAATATTTAGTTTGATGTTTAATACGATTTTACAAACTATGTGAACAATCGTGTTTAATATACAAATTTTTGATATATATTACATTCTCTTTTTGTTAAAGCTGTGTT